AAAAATTTTAATTTTCGAAAAATTATTTTACTAATTTTGCAAATATGATAGGAAAATAAAAATTCACAAAAGATATTATTTATTTTCGGCTTTTAATCAAATTAAGTATTTTAGACGCCTTGATAATTTTGTTTTGAAGTAAATAATAAATACGTCCAGGCTCTTGGATGGGCTCACTGTTAGTGTTTTATTTTTTGATGAGAAGGAGATCTGGTTCGCTGCATAAGCAAAAGAATTTGCTCGTTCTTTAGGATGGAAGAAATTTATTTTCATTTCATCTTTATTTACACCCATTTTTTGCAAAATCCTAACCACCAATCGTTATTTTACATACAGGTCACATATCCTCCAATTTAATCAATTAACAGATCCTCACATGGATTTACTATATTCTCCACAATAAACATCTGCGAATGAATATATTTTAGTATTGAACTAAGGTAAACTTATTGGAAACACTGCGTGAATTTTTTTTGTTCTAGGTATTGAGAAATTTACTTAGCCAATTATCTCTTCTGCCTCATACTCTGGTAGGGTGGCATAAGAATAATTTATAGCTATTATAATAGGCTCTTCGGCCTATTTATAAAATTTGACAGGTATAATTATTTAATCTGAATAAGGCCTTTGTAAGCTTTCCTTGGCAACTAACCTATTCTGGATTATTAGTCATTATTTCTGTACATTTTGATAATTTTTGCTATCTTTTTTTGATCATTTTTTTCTTAATAGGAGATATTCCAATTTCATAAGTAATAATTATATCTATTGATGTGGATGCTTTGATGATTTTATTTATTTCATATTCGCTGTCAAAATTTAAATTTTCTATATTTTTTGTGATAAGCGCTTACGGGCATTGATCAAAAATATAGTTCCGCCTCAATATTTGGAAATTAAATTATCCATGTCATAACTGGCAGATTCATTTTATAATTAAAGTGCTTAAATATCAAAATATTTGTAAAATAAAGCATGAAAACTGGCTTTTATCTTTCAACACATAATTATTATATTTTCCTGCAGGAGAATAGGAATCGATTTTTTTAGGAAAAAAACAATTAATTTTTACAAGTTATCCTTATTAATAATAAGTCTGGTTAACGGCGACTTAGATAATATTTTTCATGAGATAATGCTGGAAAATCTTATTATTTATTTTTAAAAATGGAAAAATTTGAATTTTTTTTTAAATTTTAACAAAAATGCGCTATTTTATAGGAGCGCCATTTGAAAAAGATACTCATTTATTGTTTTTAAATCGTAATAACTAAATACCGAGGCAGTCCCAAGTGGTATTGTTAAAAAGACCGATACGGGTCTATTTTAAAAAACGAATAAGATTATAATAAAAATAACATTATGTAAGCCTAAATGTTTTGCACATTGCTGGCAGAAATGCTTGGGCATCTATTTGCCAAATCTCGACGCTTACATAATATTATTCAGACCTTTTTAAAAATTCGACCCAAATCGGGCTTTTTAACAACACTAGTCCCAAGTTAAAATTTTTTTTACATTTAGACATAATATAAGTAGTGAATAAATAATAGAATATTAAATTAGCGAAATACTTCGAGTTTTCTGGTTCACAATTTATAACTTAAATAAAAACCGCAAATACTTCGACTATTTATAACTTAAATAAAAACCGCAAGATTAATATTTTATTAAAATCCTTAATATTTAATAAATGGCCTTTAATAGAGTTACAAAGTGACATAATTTTTATTTTAAGCATCAATATTTTTATATTTAACTCAATTTTCAAAAATCATATTTTTCAAAAAAAAATTATTTTTGGCACTTTTGACCATTGATATCTTCAAGAAATTATTATTACTTAGAGGCTAAAATTTTGGATTCGATCCTTTCTAATGATGTTCTCTCAGTATGCAAAATTTTATCAAAATTAAAAAGGTCGAGCCGATAAGTTATCGATTCACCATTTATAAATATTTGTTAAAAGTTATTTTGGGAAATTTTATCTGTCGCAATCAAAATAATCTATACTACAAATGGCACAAAAAATTAAATATTTGATTACAAAGGCTTGAATCTTTTTAAAAAAAGTTAATTACCAATATTAGCATTAGAGATCTGCAAACCCCGGTTCATTTGGCCCTTTAAAAATATTGCACAAACTATGCGACACGGCTCGTAAAATTTTTTGCTTTACCCTACCCGTTATAATTTTCAAAAAAATTTGCCTGCCCTACCCGTTAAAATTTTACCAAAAAGATATTTTATTTCATTAAACACCATTACACATTTTTTTCCATATTCTTTCTTTTATATTATTGAGAAAAATATTTACTTAGAAGAACTTCATAAATATGGTTTGTTCTTGATAGTTCCAAAAAGATGCATCTAAAGTGAATGAAATTTAATCACGAAGATTGAATGACGGCTCGGGTATTCAATTTTTATGATTTTGGCTGTTAGGCGTAATATTTATACATTGCCTAATGAGGCGAAATCTTATTGAGCTTAAAAAAAGGGAGCGCGAACAAAATATTTTAAATATGCTAACAATTATTTGGTAGGGGAAGAATGTAGTAAGGCTTAAATTTATTCTATGATTGTAATTTTTATGAGAATACCCAAATTTAATAAAATGAGTCATAGAGTTTAAAAATTGATGGAATGCAGTTAATGAAGGGGCTGGAAATCAGATACCTTCATGGGCCTTAATTTTTTTGATCAAGCCCTGCCTAGGCACGCAGTAAAAAAAATTCGCCCATATTTAATATTAGAAAAATATTCCCAAACCCAAAAATTTGATTTATTATATTAAGTGTGTTTAGGCAACCATTTTGGTTACAATACGTTTATCCATTAGAAAAAAAATCGCGATATTATTTTAAATTAGCAACTTAAATATGCTAAATTTAAAAAAATTTAGGCCCAAGCCCTCCCTACCAAGTTAAAAAAAATTCAAAAACCTAGTCTCGCTAGAATATATAATATTAGGCCCATACTAGACTATGAAAGTCTCATAAATATTCCTACTTCTTAAAGAAAACTAGTTTTCGTTTTAAAATAAAGTAAAACCTGTTTAATTTGGGTATAGTTTGGACCAAAATTTTTGCCATCATAGAAAGTTGCCCAATTTACCAAGACTTTTTATTTTCTATAATATTTAATAGGATTTGATTGGGACTCAATTTTGATCAAATCATGTCCTAATTATTTAAAGCCCAAATTATACAAGTTTAACTGTATTTAAATTAAATAGTATACTTTTTTTTTCCTGTATAATTTTAATATTATTTCCCAACTAGTTCGCATAAAAAAATAAATAATATTAAGTTATTTCTTTTCTCCTTAGAATAATTCATGATATTTATATAAAATTAAGGAATATTTAAATACATTCCTTTGATCTGTATTGCATATTTATAATTAGATCATATCATAAATAACTAGTTTAATTTTATATGAGTTTACTATCTTATTTGTAGATTTAGTATTTTAGATAGAAAGCTCTTAAAATGCGAAGAAACATTCATACTTTAATTTATTTTTAAACAGTATATATCAAAATATTAGCTTGAAATAAAAGAAAATATCAAAATTTTAATGCCCGGGCTGGCTTATTGAAATTTTATGAAAAATCAGAGATTTTCGAGGCTCCTCTGATTTTTTATATATGGCATGATTCAAAAATTCTATTAATTGCACCCCCCCCCCCGTTATAATTTCCCCCTAGACTTTAGGACGGGCCGAACTTTGCTTTGCATATCTCTAATTTGCATTTTATTCGAATATTTACAAAAATTTAGTACGAATAATTTAAATTTATCATTCGAATATAATTTTTTGCCCTAGTCCATTTTATTATGATTTTTAAGAATTTGACATTAGCTGATGTTAACATATTAGAATAAGGTTTAATTTTAAAATATAATGTATACAAAATATTATCTCTTACCAGAGTTATTTGTAGAAACTAAGCACAGAACTCATTTTGAAATTAAATCGGTTTTAACAACAAGTATATTAACGAGATATATTTTATGGTGTGGAAATAAAAACCAAATCTTAATTATTTTTATTAAACATGGATCAAAATTCATCAATTTTGAAAAATCATTTAAACTTATATCAGAAGCTTAATAAAGTAAAAATTATTTTTTGGCCTTTTTTAAAAAGATTTATCATTTATTATAGCACTAACCAACATTTCTTATCAGATTTGTTTAATATAAATTTCAACAATAACAAATAAAATAAGGAAATACATTTTTTTTAAAAATACTTTTCAAACTTTTTGACTCTAAATTTGAAAGAGCTTTGGAGGAATATTCAATACAAGTGTTATACCAAATAGTTGATTGAAGATTAGGATTATTTTTGCGTTAGCACCCGCAAAAATTCTATTTAGGATCTCAACCACTCGGGATTCTAGGAAATTATTTAATATATAAGTCGAAAACATTATTTTACTAGACGTTTTTGATTTGATTTGGTGTTTAAATTAATACCAGGTTTGCCACCCATTCTTCGACAGAATATATGTTCGATGATTTTGAAATTTTTTATGCATGAAAATTGAAAAATATATTCTTTACCAAAAGAAATTGTCATTCTTCGGTAAAATTTTATCGAAAATTTCTTTATTTTCAAACTCTCTTACAACAAATTAAATTACCCGGTTTTAAATTTGAACTGAAAATTGAACTCATTTATCATAGCATTTTTCTTTTCTTCACATCTATTACATTTGTAAGATAATAATTAATTTAATGTCAGTTTTTTCAAAAATATATATACTATTCAAAACATATATGGTAAATTAAATAATTTGCATCGATTATTGGAATAGAAATAATATTCCACAGCATCGAATCCATAATTCATTTTGTAGGGTTTATTTAGTGTTTAAATGTCTTCATTGCTTATTTAACAGAATCCGAAACCAGAACCTATTGGGAATGAAAGAAATATTTGTTTAGACGAGATACCAAATCATTCATATGTTAATTTAAAAAAAAAAGATGGTAAGGATGGCTCTGACCCTTCCACTGTCTTAAACCTAGAGGACCACAAAATTCAAACCTGGCGAGACGAATTTTTAAAGGAACATAGGCGGCCTTTTTTGTGGGTGGATCCCAGGGTCGATCTTCTTCGAGCCGCGAGGCTTCTAGTCAAGAATAAGGTGCATCGGCTCCCTGTCCTTGATCCAGTGACTGGTAACGCCCTCTACATTTTGACCCACAAGAGGATTTTGAGATTTTTGTGTCTCTATATCGACGATTTACTTCCCAGACCACGATATATGGATCGGACCTTGGAGGAGCTCAACATTGGTTATTCATGCTGATTTTAATTAATTTATATTAAAATGCGTTTTTTAAATAACGTTCATTTAGCCGCAGGAAAAAAATCACAAGTTGCTATTTCAACCTTTTCTCTTTTTAAAACTTGTCCAATGTCATCTTTTACATTTTATATATGTTTATCCATCTCAAAATTATTTTTCGTAAAAAGGCTCCTACACAGATATCCAGACAGTATTCGAGGATACCCCGGTCCACGTAGCCCTCTCTCTATTTTCTAACCCGCGTCGTGTTTCAGCTTTGCCGGTTCTTTCTAGGGACGGGAGCGAACGTGTTGTCGATGTATATGCTAAATTTGACGTTATCAACTTGGCGGCTGAACGCAGTTACCGAAAATTAGATATCACTGTTAAAGAAGCCCTATCCTACCGCGCTCACGTTATAGAGGGCGTCCATAGCTGTCAGAGATGGGAGAAGCTCGGACCGGTAGTTGATAGGTTAATTTTTTAAACATTATACAAACTCATAGAGTTTTAAAAAGTTTAATATCCTTAGTCTTGCTCAGGCGCGTACGCAGGAATTTGGTCTGGGGAGGGATAATAAAATTTTTTAGAAATATTGTTTTTTAAAAATATCAAGCATAAATTTATTAGAACTAATAACTATTTCTAATACACAATTTTAAATTAATGTGAATTATAAAAAAAATTATATGTAAAGAATCACTTAAATGAGCCAAAATAGAAATTTGAATTTTTTGAGCCTTTAAAATTATATATATAAAAATTTAAAGATTGGAAATATAAATTAATACACAAAAAGTTTAAAAGGAATAATTGTATTTTGTATTATATATTTACATGTAAAATCCAATCTTCTTTGGGATTGAGCTAATTTTTCAATTATCTCATCCTTTCTTGTCGTCAAATGCCTATGAATATTCAAAAGATCCAAACCTTTCAATCTACTTTCAGAAGTTGTACTTCTTGGTATGTTTTTCAGAGACTTACAGGTCCCCAGGCCGGGCCCGAAGTTTTTTTTAAAATACCCGGGCAGGGCCTGAAAATTTTTTTAAAAAAATATCCGGGCCTGGTTGTATATTTATAAACAGCCAATATTTAAAATCGTATATTTAGCTATAGAAATAAAAAAAATATATTATTTTTTTTAAAAAGCCCGAACCGGGCCGTAAAAATTTTTTTAAAAAAATACGGGCCGTGCCCTGCAAATGGTACCTCTGCAAGGCTCTGTTATTCTTCTTAAAAAAGAGAATGTTCACTCTTAGTTCACTAATGGGAAGAGTTGCTAATATATAAACCCTTTTAATACTTATGAATATAATCTAAAATGTGTTTGAAATGCAAAGCATCCATAGCATTTTTTAGGACTATATCAACCATAGTTAATTTTATAAACATAGTTATTCAGCTAATAAGGCATCATGATATACTTTAACATCTTCATGATAAGAATTAACAAATATTTTTTTTCTATCACCATCTGAAAAAGGTTGGTAAGTCTTTTGTGCAGTAATATCTGCAGATTGGTAAGTGCTGCATGATGAATTAAAACCCATTCATTTATTTGAGTTATAAACATGTCTAAGAGAGGGGGCATTTGTTTTATAATACTCTTCTACTGATCCTATATTAAGTTTTAACGATGAGCTTGCCTTGCTGCAAGTCGATGGAGACAAATACTAAATAGCTCTGCTTTTGACTCAGCAATAACATAAAATATGAAATTCTTCATCAACATTAGCCCTAATTTCCTTGAGTTCTAATAAAATGCTCTCCGCTATTCTCATCTTATTAATCAAGTCAATGTCATGTTTTTGAAAAGTATTACATATAGTTGTATAATTAAATCATTCTAATAAGGAAAAAAATTTGGAACAAGCATTGAATCTAATAATTTTCTTGCTTCTAAGGAAATATTTCTTTCAGGCCATTGTGATATTTCATTAATAGCAAATAATCGGCTCTTCTAACTGCATAAAAGCTATTACTGCTTGATGGCGAAGACTCTCTCTTTGGACAAGCTTGCAATTTCTTTCTCCCTGTTGGACAAGGAGTTTCAGAAATAATTATTATTTGACTAGAAATTTGAAAATGGTAGATAAATATTACGCCACTAAAAATTTGAAAATAATAAGTAAATATTAATCCGGAAAACTTGAATTCGACATTAATTGATAAAATAACAGCAGATGAATGTGCTAAATAAATGTAAATAAATATTTAATATGAGATAGGAATATATATCAAATATAAATTAATATAAACAATAATATTTTTGAAAAATATACCCGGTACCTGCATTTTTGGGGGGGAGGGGGGGGGGGGAGGGGGTATTTGCCCCCCCCCCGCTGCGTACGCCTGATCTTGCTATTCATTTTTAAAGTATGCCTTGAGTCATATTTTATACATAAAAATTGTTTTATCTCTTTTGTTTATATTTTTTTGTGAGATTTTAAATGATTATCTTATTGAATGTCCTAGTGATTTATAAGATAACTAGTTGATAACCCGACAAGAATGACGGGAATAATAAAATCTTGAACTATTATATAAATTTTTTTTAAATACATTTTTTTCTTATAAAATAAATGACAAATTTTAGTGATTATTTATTCATTTTATTAAATTTAGCGTAAAATATATGAAATTGTAATCAAAAATTTAGTGTAGATATTGATAAATTGGTATTGTATGTCATTTCCAGAGTTCAAATATTGTTGTTGAGATAAAAAATTTATACTGGCATAGGGGTGGTAATATGAGATAAATGTATTGGCTAAATATAATTTAAATTTATTTGTTAAATCTAAATTATAATAAGTATTTAGGATTAGTGAGGGAGTTTAATTTTCTGCATGAGAAGATATTGATAAATAGGTATATTATACTATTTGCAGAGCTCCCATATTGTGGTCGAGATTAAAAAAAAATTTACTACCATATTTTGGGGTGGTAAATAATTTAAATTTATTTGTAAAATCTAAATTGTAATATAAAAATAGTTTATAAAAATTAATAAATTTTACTTTGATTGAATATAAATACTTACGCTAAAATTAATATGAGATAAATGTTTATTTTTCAATTGGCTATATATAATTTAATTTGCTATTTTAACTTTAATAATATTCATTCTTATCATAATTTGAGGTGATGTTAGTATTCTTTTTAATATAACACAATAAGATCTAAATTATATAAATTAATCGAAAAATATGTTAATAGCAAATTAATAACATATATAAGAAAGATTATATTACAAAATTTAATATAGAAGGTGGTTGAGTGGGAAGAACGTTTGCCTTTAAAACGTTAAGTCATGGGTTCGAATCCCGTGATGCACAAAAAATTTTCTTAAAATTTAACATTAGAGATATATAGTCTCCATTGATTTATTTAACATTAAGAAGATAGGAAAGTTGATAGAAAAAATAAAAATTGACATTAAGATGATAGGAAAGTTGATAGGAAAAATAAAAATTAACATTAAGATTATACGAAAACGTTCATTTCTTTATTACGGTGATTATATATATATGCCTTTTCCATCATTTTTCTTTCACCTTCTTCTATTCCCCTTCTTCCGTTATCTTCATTTATTTATTTCTTTCTTTTTTGAAAAAAATATCTACCGGTTTGCATAATAAATATAGTTATTTTATTTATTTAATCAATGCATTCCTATATAAAAAAAAATTTGCAGAATAGTAAAAGCCGGTGTTCATAGACTTGTGGTAGTCGACGATAATTGGAAATGCGTGGGCATGTTATCCTTATCTGATATACTGTCTTTCCTTATAAAACCCACCCGCGATATAATGAAATTAACTTCAAATGAGACTTGAAATTTTGTCGTACAATTAATCGACGAACTGGCAAAGATTTGAATTTATCATAGATCGAATTTTGTTTGTAAAAAATTTTTTGGCTAAGTTACACGCTTTGAACTATAAAATCACTTAAATTATATAATATATTATTAAGAACGTAATTTAAAAATGAAAGGCACTTAACTTTAATCATATAAATAGACATTATTATTGTTAAGAGAATGAGATTTAGTTTTTATCCCATGAGTTTACCTTACTTATTATTAAAAATGGCCCAAATAAATTTTTTAAACAAATTAAACCAAAAAATATTAATCATATAAAATCTTATAAATATTAAATTTATATTGCTATAAACATTCTTATATTATTAAAACATATGTCGTAATATTTTTTTTATATAATAATTTATCAGATGTTATCATTTAAATAAAAAAATTACCCTTTTTATGGTTACAAAGTACACTTGTCAAAAATGATTAATTAAAAATTGTAAAATATTTATTTATATATATATATTCAATATCCCATATACGTATTATAAATAAAATTGTGATTCATTGAAAAAAAAGAATCTTATTTCAAATAGAAATTTAGGTTTACCTTTTTGCTTAACTTATACTTCAAGTATAGTAAAATAACCACTACTTCTTTAAATTACTTATCTAGATAGGTCTCATTTGCGATCCTACATGCCATAAAAATTTTCTTTATTTCTTTATATAGAGAGTTAACACTTTCTTTCAAATAGATTATTAAAATATTTTGAATTAACAAATTATTAAATTTCTTTAAATTTACCCTTGTTTATCTCCTGAAATTAGATAGTTTATATATAACTTTTTCAAAAAAAAATGAATTTCAAAAATTAATATACAAACTTAAAATTTGGGAGTTTTGTCCTAGAAAATCATTTTATAATTAGCAATTTAAATTAAATGCTATTGAAACTGAAGCCTGGATTTTTTTTTATTATCAAAAACACCTTTTTTAAACTTATAAACATTACACATATTAATATGAATTTTTTTATCTTCAACTTTTCGTTAAATTTTAAGCCATTTATTCTCAATTTTCATAAATATATTACAATTTAGGGAGACTATTGATTGCCTGTTAATTTTATGTTTTTTTAAATTTTTTTTAATATAAAAAATAGCCTTAAAATAAACAGAATTGTTTAAACTATTATGAATTGTTAATTTAATTACAATATGTGATCGATCGTTGCGGACTAGCCACATAAGGGAAATGAGCAAACCCACATGCCAATGTAAATCTTGACTAAACGAAGGAATCAAACTGTCAACTCATTTATTAAGGTTAAATAGATGGTTTAGTAATATATTTTTTTAATATGGGAGGGGGGAGGGGTTTAAATTTTTTTATTAAAATTTAAAGTTATTTCTAACGACGAGTATTATCCTTACCAGACCATCTTGGGGCCAATTTATTTACCTACGTACATATGTTATGGAAAGGAAACAACTGGAAAAACATTTTGTTTGTGTTAAATAAAATAATTCATCCGGGTTGGGATTTTACGCTCATCAATTCCCATAATTATTAATAAAGACATGAATTCCAATTCTCACAAAATTAAAAGATTATAGGCTCTTATTAAATAAGGTTTTCCTATCAGCATGTATTAGATGTAAAAAATAAGAATTGAATTATTCGTACGCGCCAAACATTCGATTCTAAAATTTATTTTTTTCAATTCTTAAAGTTATAAAACGGATTATTTTGTAAAAATTATTCTTTCTAAAAATTATTGATAAATAAGATCAACTTAATCCAAAAATAATAAGATCGGATAATATATTAAAAATTAAAGTTTCAAGTTATGAAAAACTAAAAAGAATTAAATTTTAGGGATCCATACAATACATTGAGATGAAATAGTAGCTTTATACTAACGAGGCCTAGCTAAGCCTAACCTGGTCTATAGTATAGCATGTATGGAATTGATATTACTTATTACCACATTTAATTATTAAAAATTTATAATCTTAAGTATTCAAGGACACTTATTTTAAAAATCTATTCTACCTTATATTCTGTGCTGTAGTTTTAAAATTTACTACAGGGACACGCTATTACTCAAAAAATAAAAAGGGCAAAAATAATTGATGGTACATATAATGTTTCGAAATTAGAAGCGATAACTTTGCAAGTACGATATATTGAAAAGAGTAAAACGCCTATGCCTGTTAAAGAAATAGATATATATTACATCGGTAACACGACTTGTCTTGATATTCATCTTGGATGGAATGAAATATCTACATGCGTTTGGGAGAATCTCGAACAAAAGATAATACAGGGTTTCCCATTCAAAAAAGGAAAAGTCCCAATCATAAAAGGAAAAGTTCCGATCAAAAAAGGTAAAGGGTCAATCAAAAAAAGGAAAAGGTCCCGATCAAAAAAGGAAAAGTGTCAAACAAAAAAGGAAAAGGTCCAATCAAAAAAAGAAAATTCCCATTCAAAAAAGGAAAATCGTAATTTTTCTTAATTTTTTTATTTATTTTTGTTATTCCTTCTTAATTTATTTCTAAATTTTTGCGATTTCTTTACGTTTTTTTTCTTACTGATCTTTTCTCAATCTATTTCTAACTTTTTGCGATTTTCTTTACATTTATTTTTCTTACTATATCATCTCAATTTATTTTTCTTCTCATTTTTAATAATTCTCTTGTATTTTTAAAAATAATTTATAAATTTAGGTCCATTTTTTTAACAATTCTTTACGTTTTTTTTCATCATACATACAATATTCTTTTTATGATTTTTTCATTGTAATCTTTTACATACATTTCTAACCTTTTCAATCTCTTTAAGTCATTTTTAATCTTTATTTTTTTGAGCATTTCTTAATTTTTTTTCTTCTCATTTTTGATAATTATTTTTTAAAATTATATTTAATTTTTTTGGTAGACAATATAATTACAATTGCTAAATTAAATTAATCGTTTGGTTATAATGTACCTTTTTAAAATAAAAATAGTTTGAACTGTAATGCCAAACAATATGTAAATTAATAAAATATAATCATTTTTAAATTCTTATTAAAATTATCAAAAATGAGAAGAAAAAAAATTGAGAATAAAGATTAATAATGACGAGATTGAAAAGGTAGAAATGTATATTAAAGATTACAATGAAAAAATCGTAAAAAGTAAAAAATAAATTGAGAAAAGATGCAGTAAGAAAATTACTGTAAAGAAATAAAATAAGAAGGAATGACAAAAATAAATAAAAATTTAAGAAAAATTTATAATATTTTTTTAATAAATTACGATTTTCCTTTTTAGAATGGGAATTTTCCTTTTTCGGTTGACACTTTTCCTTTTTTGATTGGACCTTTTCCTTTTTTGTTTGACACTTTTCTTTTTTTAATTGAACCTTTTCCTTTTTTGATCGGACTTTTTCCTTTCTTTTTGGACCTTTTCCTTTTTTGATTGAACCTTTTCCTTTTATGATTGACCCTTTTCCTTATTGAAACTTATCCTTTTTTGAATGGGAAACCCTGTAAATCTTTCATTAATACTATAAAATCACTCATTTTTGCAATAGTATCAAATAAATCTTGTACCACAGGAAATATATGACCTGCACAATGGACGTAGACTGCTCTAGATTCTTCATTAAGGAGATGCATATGTAAAGCAGATATCTTTCATGACCTCACAATGTACATAGATTGCTCCAGGTTCTTCATTAAGAAGACGTCTATGTAAACCAGATATCTTTCTATTAACGTTAGGAGCTCCATCAAAACAATGACCTCTAAATTTTTTGATGTTTTATCGAAATAATATATCTTTGATTTATTCACCTTGCCCCCATAGAAATTCATAAATATGGGCTAGAACACCCCTGCTCCCCCCCCCTTGAATCTGCGCCTATGCTGCTCAGGCTCTTGAAGTAGCCATAGATCTTTTGAACAGCAGATATTCTTTTTTCATTTGATATAATATAATATGCCATATTTTTGATAACGACCTCCTTTTATTTTAATTTTTTTCTTTAATTCATAAGAAATTTATTTAATTTTTCATTAAATTATTTGGGTTTTAAATTTATCTATCCACACATTCCACTCCATTTTCAAAAAATTACACCTAATTTCTTTCTAAATTTTTATCATATTCAGGTAATTTTCTCTCTAACTCATCTATTTGTTAGGTTTTTCACAACCTTATGCATTTCTAAATTCCTATGTGAATTTAAATTTCAAGGTGTATAAATTTCATTTCTATTTAAATAAAATTCTAAAAAATTTTTATAATCTATAATTTTTAAATATTTTATAATCTTTTATCGCTTAACTATATTCAGGGGTTTCGATGAAATTTAATAATTAATTTTTAAAAATTTATTAAAGGCATTACCAAATTTTACAATAATTTTTACGGAAAGTGCTAAATCATTTGAATTATATAATGATTATCGGTTGTTATACTGCATAAAATTCATTTTGAGCGCTCCAAAATTATTTCGACAAATGGTATGTCCTCTCCCCGATCTATTTCAGGACTTGACCAGTTTAACTAGCTATAATTTTACTAATGGGACATTATTAGAAGGGCTCCCTCTTACATTTCTCGATATGTCATTTAGCGAGATCACAATCTTATGAGATTCTACCTTTAATTCACCTTTTTATTCCAAACTAAAAATGCTAATATTGAGCGATAACAAAATTAAATTTTTGCCCTTGAATTTATTTTCCAGTCTGAACAACTTAGTGGCTTTGTATATTAATCGTAATTTTATATATAGTTTTGAATCTAACTTAATAAGGAAATTGGTAAACCTTGAGATTTTTAGCCTGAATACCAATCCAATTAAATTTATAAGTATGCGCAAAGATGATCGAGGATCGATGAATAAATTTATTTCCTTATCTTTATGCAACATAAGCTTGAAGGTGGGACAATTAGAGGCACTGTACATTTCCCCATCGATTAAAATATTCAAATTTAGTCATAATAAAATTGCCCTTGTACCAGAGCCATTACTCACATTCCTGACTTTACATGTAAATTCAACTCTCCAATTGCAAGGTAACCCTTTTATGTGTTTAAACATGAATGGGAAGTATTTTGATTGGTTTGCAAAGAATAAGAATCTTCACCTACCTTTTTTGTTACCAGGAGACGTCAGTTCTTTTACTAATGAAGCCCGATGTTACATTCCACAATTGTACAAAGGCGCATTCTTAGTAAATATGTCTCTTGATAAGGTTTCTAATGACGATGTATCTACATGTTATGTAGAAATTCCTTGTGCGTGCTATGTCGATAACAATATCCCGGTTATTTACTGTGCTTCGCTACTTACTCTTATTTAAGGAATAATTCGAAACTAAATAATGGAAAATGGAGTTATCCTATAATTTTAGATACTATAGAATTTT